AAAAAAAAAAAAAAAAAAAAAAAATGTAGCGTGCGAAGGCCCCTGGGTCAAACTGTGCCAGAACCGAGTCTTCACTGGAAGAGTTTAATAGTACAGTAGCAACAGAAGCTGATATGTTTGGGTCCCAGACAAGCAGCAGTGTGCTCAGGCTCCTTCTGCAATGCTGCAGCACGATGCTCCCTACTGTTGACTGGCCATAGTCCACAGTTGGTCCACATAGCCACCTAGCCCATGGTTCAAAAACATCATGCTGACACCTCCTGAAGCAAGCTGGAGCTCTCAAAGACACATTGTCAAGGATGCTTGAGTGATAAGGGAAGGGGGGGACATTATTCCAAGGCTGTACTTCAAAGAGGAGCGGGTGTTAGGAAGGATTGAGGCCTGAGGCTCTGGCATAAAAGTCCAGCTCTCAGGTGCTGCAGACACCCACAGAAGGCCCTCAGTTTGTTAAAGAAAGAGCTCTGTTTCTTCTAACTTCACTTGCTTGCTGCATCCAATTCTGGGCTCCACACTTTAGAAAGGACATGGAGAAGCTTGAGAGAGCCCAGAGAAGAGCCACATGCATGATTAGAGGTCAAGAGATCAGGCCTTATGAGGGGAGGCTGAGACCTATCAGCCTGGAGAAGAAAAGGCTCAAGGGGTACTTGGTAACAACCTAAAAGTACATAGGGGTGTGCATCAGGAACTGGGAGAATGTCTTCACCAAGGCACCCCAAGGGAAGACAAGTTCTAATAGTCACAAAACTGCAGGATGACCGTTTTAGACTGGACATAAGGAAAAACTTCTTTACTATCTGAGTCTCCAGAGTCTGGAATAGACTCCCACCAGAAGTGGTGCAATCACCTACTCTGGATACATTCAAGAATTTCTTGGGATACTCAGCTTGCTGTGCGCATCTGATCCCAGCTGGCTTCCTACCCTGGGGCAGGGGGCTGGACCCAATGATCTTGCAAGGTCCCATCCAGCCCTAACGTCTATGACATTTATGGAACAAAGAAATCATCTTCTGGTGTTTTTAATGCCCCATCAAGCATAAAGCCTGGGGGATTCCTTTGCAGGCTGCCTTTAAGAGGAACTCAGAAGATTGGAGAGCCTGGAGCACTGGGCAGCACCCAACTGTGCATCTCTGCACAAAGGGGCAGGCTGTGAATTGGGAGTGAAAAAGGCAGAGGATTATATTCAGAGAGACAACTAGGCAGAGGAGGAGCTTGGCTGAGCTGGGTAGGTAGGGGTTATGTAGGCCGCAAATGCCATCTATCCTATTTCCATAGGCTGTTTTTCTCATTACATCTGTAAGGTAAGTCAATTGTGTCCAACTTATGCATCCCCACAGGTCAGAGGAATGGTGTGGGGGTCAGTCTGCAGGCTGGATCTGACATGTGGGGCTGGTCTGTGGGTCTGATTTGGCATGCAGACCCACATCATCTAGCTTGTGGGTCTCCCCATGTGTGGACATTTGGTGGTTGGACAAGCAGTGACAGTGTTAATTGCCACACCTCCAGGAGTCACAACAATTAACATTGCCACTACTTCTCTGCCAAATCTCTGGACCTGTGGAGAGCCCCACAGGCTAGATGACAGCTCCGCATGCTGGATTTAAGCTGTGGGCCATATCTTGGGGTGTATACACATATACTAAGGTGACTTAAGTTAAACCACGTAAGAACATACATGCAGCTCCTTGACATGGTGGCAGCCACCTTGTAAACTAAGTTGACTTAACTAATGCAGCTTAAGATAATACACCTCAGAGGTTTATTGTCTTGCATCACATTTAAGTTGACTGCTCCATGTACATGTGTATGCTCTGACAGTTAAGTCAACTTCTTAAAGTTAAGTCGGCTTAACTGTCAGAAAGTTAGTATGTGTGCATATACCCTTGGTCACCCCAAGTTAAGTGACTCAGTCAATAGGGCTCTTCATACCAAGCCAGTGCCTGAAAAGGGAGCTGTGTGCCCAACGTACCATCTTTCCAATGACATTAAAGCCAAGAACCTGCCCATATGTGGTCATTAAGGACAGAATCCTGTGTCACTTTCGGCCCCCAAGCGGCCGTTTCCTAATTGTGCGACTGCCATTTCTGACATATGCAGTTTGTGATACTAGTCCACACACTGTGAAACCATGGGGCTACTGCCCATGCTCAGTGGGCTGCACTTTGGTTGGGCAGGTATGTGATTCTAAACATACCCAGGGATAAAGTCCCAAAATCTTGGTATCACAAAAACTTGGAGGGAGAGGGACAGCTTTATAGGGAGGATTGAAGAAACAGTAGGATCCAAACAATATGTAGATGCCAAAGCCAGCAGCCTGGGACTGGGTCACTCCTCTTTGAGCATGAACAGTAAAATAAGATTCTGCCATAACTATCTCATGTCACTTTTCCCATGAGGCAAAACCCCACTTGGACTGTTCCTTTCTGCACCTCTGCATTGTCCACTGCAGTTTACCAAACTTCTCAAACAATGCTGCTGGTAATAGTTGCACCCCAGAGGTGGTTGCACTTCCAATGTGGTGGAGTCCTTGATCTGTGCAGAACAATGCTAGTTTTAGGCCTGCATTCAGGGCACGCTACAGGCCTGTGCTTGTTCATGTGAGGCTGGCAGCACCAAGAGGACCCTGATGCCAATTTTGATCTGGGGGGTGTCCAGTCAAAGGAGATGTTAGTCATCTTCCCTCTATAGCCCTGGCAAAAGCAGTCTCCATGCCAAGAAGGATAAGGACCAGCCAGATGTGGTGTCCCACTGGGCTGATGGTTAGCAGTTTTGGGCTTGGACAGCAGCCATGAGAGGTCAGAATCATGAACTTAGAACAGCAAGGGCGTTTCCAGTCTCTTTTGACTTTAACTCCCCTGCACATGCAACCATTCAGGCTGATACCTGGCCACAACAGCAGCTTCCCCCAGTTCCTCCAGTCCTGGCTTGCTGCTGCCCAGACCCCTCCCTGCTTTCTGAATGAGTTATGAAGGCAGCCAGGTTAGTGTTCTCAACCTTGCCCACCCCTCAGCTCAGCCTTGTGCAAGTGGGAGAACTGAGGCACAAAGCAGGGAAGTGACCTGCTCAAGACTGCAGTGAGAGTCAGAACCACGTATGTAAAATGCAAGCCCTCCTGAACTTGCAGGCCTTCTCATTACTCCTCCCAGCAGCACCAAGGAGCCATTCCTCAGCCAGCCCAATGCTGTGGTTCTTCATTTTTTGGGGTAGGGAAGCACAAGCTACTGTGAATACACATTGGCTAAAATACTGGGGAATGACTGAGAGCACAGCAATGCCCTCTCAGTAACCTTAGTTTAACAACACAGTTGGGTATGTGCAGTGAAGTTAGTAGACAGAAAGGATGATTTAGTAATTAAGGCACTCACCTGGCACGTTCTCTACTCTGTCACTAATTTCTGGGCGACATTGAAGAAAACCTCTTGGTGCAGTCTGCAAGGTGCTGAGATATTGCTCTTCTCAGCATGGTGCCACCTAACCCCCACTACCTAGAGGATTCCTCAGGCAGTGCCCAGGCCCTACATGGGTGGAGGTGGGTTAAGTATCTAAGGAATAGATTTTTGTCAGCTGGCCTGGGGTAAAATAGTGGGGCAAAGTGGTATGGATAAAAGGGGTGTTGGTGGTTAGTGGCTAACCTGGTGCACCTGGCTGAGGGTCAAGCTAGGCTCCTCCCTCTGCTAAGGATCCTCAGCTGGACACTTGCTTTCGGCCTTTGATGCTTCAGTCTATGTCTTGGCTGCTGAAATGGCCTCTGTCGCCAGCTTGTGCTCTCAGCCATGCCTGCTTTATTCCCCAGCACCACAATGTGCAGGTGCTCTGCTGCCCTCCATCTGTCAGTGGCCTGCTTAGAGCCCTCCCATGGCAGAGAAAGGTAAATGACAGTGCTGAGCACACTAAAGGATTAGGTCATGCTGATGAGAAAACCCTTCCACCACTTAGCATGAGAACCCCATGCTGGTGACTTCCAAGGATTCAGCATAAAGTTGGGGCAACATCAGTGTTTTGTACATGTCAGCTCAAAAACTTAGGCACCTAAGGAGACCAGCAAGTACCTGTGAGGGTTTGGGTCTTAGTCTTGATTTACCTTTATTTTCTCCTATGTAAAGCAGGGGATATATGGCAGGGGTGTGAAGTAGTCATAACTCACTCGAAGGTACACAATAAGTCCAGGGAAATAGTGGGGCTACAACCCAACCCTGATGTCCATTCCCATTCTTCCCATTAGACCCTAGTCCATCCTGCCACCCTCGGTTCAGGTTTCTGTTACTCTTTCTCCCAACAGTGTCAATACTCCACCTACCCGAGGCTGTCTTAGTGGGAAGGCCTTATATGCTAGATAGATGCATCTGTGCTTAAGTGTTTTGGTGATAGATATAAGCTATTAAGACAGGGCTATAGGCAAGGGTAGAACTCAAGAGTCCCAATTCCTACTCCCTTTTTGCTTTCCTATCCTGATCCTCTGCAGTGAGACAGTGCCTCACACATGCTGTATCCCAGCCACAACCTGCCTTTTCCCCTCTAAACCCAGCAAAAAAATCCACCACGTGTGAAGTGAAAATATGAACATTATTTAATAACTGATTCTCTGTAATAAACAATTTGAAAATATTTTACAAGGAATCACACACACAATATTTTACAAAGTTTTTTGTCTTTTTTTTAAAGTTTTCCAACTCTTCTGTACAAAAAAAAGGGAACAAAATAAAAATAAAATAAAATAAATAACCCTTTCAAATGAGCAGAAAAAAGCTTTTCAGATGAGGAATGAGCAGGGTTTGAGCCCAGCAGAACAACTACCTGGTGATTGTTTTGTTTTTATTTTTTTTAAACTTAAAATTATATATATATATATTTATATTTATGTATAGTGTTTTGTTATTCTCAAATGAGCACCTAACTAGACTATAGAATTACACACACTCCTGGTAACACAGAGCCAGCCATCTGTTCAAAACACGTTTCCCAGAGACAGTAATCAAACACACACTGAAAAAGCTACAAGCAAAATGACCATTAATTAACCCAATCATTAATTAATGAATCACCTCCCTTCCCCCCACCCCTCTCCGGCTTGATGGTCAAACCCACAACACCTCATCGAGGTCATTGGCCATTGGTGCCCCCTTCACCAACCTCCTCCCCTCCCCTCCCCTCCCCTCCCCCGGATTGTTTTAGTTGAACATAATTTTAAAAAACATGGCGCATGTGGGTGGCATTAGTTTCGACCAGCCCCAGGCCTCCCCTGGCTGTCAGGTGGGTGTGGAGCTGAGAGGCAAATGGACACAGCTAAAATGATTTGGCTCAATTGGCCAAATTCAGCTCCTGGTGTGGTGCTAGAGGGCGAGTAACTTGGCATGAGGAAAGACCTCGTCCAGGCCCAGGCACGTCCCCAAGGTGGCATGGGTCAAATCAATGATTCCCTGACTCCCTCCCACTCCGCCTCCACACCCAAACTCAATGTATTTTACAGACTCTCTTCTGCTTTTCCCAGCCAGCCACCATTAGCTAGGAGAATTATCTTTTGTCCCGTGGCTCTGGCCAAGGCCAGGACATGGCTGCACGTGTTCTACTCCCATGCTGTCTCCCAGTTTTTCTATAACAAGTGCAAATCTTTTCTTCTCCCCTTAAATGCTCCCACTCCAGCCATCTTCTCCCATCATTCCACAAGACATCTCACCCACTTCTCTCTTCCCAGTAGCCCACATCTTAGCTCCCTCGCTTCCCTGTATGCTGTCTTTTAACAGCATCTCACCCAGCTGCCCGGCCTGATCTTCTCATCCTGGCCAGGAGCCTTTCCACTCACTTCAGTGGTCCTATGTCCAGCACGATGACCCTCCTTATGTATACCAACACCTTCAAATCCTGGCTTAGTGCAGTTTGCCTGTCTTGTTCTTAGCACCTGCCTTTCCCCTGGGCTCACCACTCCTGTACTAGCTCGGGCTGTGCCTGCAGACAACTCAGTGTCTACCACTCAGCTGCCGCAGCTAGTTAATGCAACGTATGTGATCATTAGAGATTTATCTCTTGATGTTCTTGCTCCTAAACATGTCCTTGCTCCACCATCTTGGTCTGAGCTCTGTGGCCAGGACCTAGATTCACTCTGAAGTGCAATACAAAGTGATGGTGCCACATTAGCTAAACGGTTATTACTACAATGGCTCCTAGCCACTTCATGGCAAAGAAATTGTGCACTACCCCCGATCTCAAAAACCTTTCTACAGCACCCTAGGCAGGACCCTAATGATGGTCACTGGGCTTCATCTTAAGCACCACTGGGCTTCAGCCCACAGGTTTTTTCCATCTCTAATTTCTAAGACCCTATCAGCATGTCTACCCTGCAGCTCTGTCTGAGGTAGGAGAAAAAAGGAGAAAAATGGGGAACTTGGTAGGCAGTGGGAAAGTGTTCCTCTATCCCCAGGAGACCAAGGGAAGTGCTAGAATCAGTGGTGACGGGAAAAACGGTGCCAGAATTCTGCCTTGGATGATCTCTAGGTTGTCCCTGTGCAGGAAGTTCAATGCCAGGTCTGTTAGAGATAGGATTACCTCTGGACAGGGCCAACTATTTGAACTAATACACATTAACACCTGTTGTTTTCACTCAGGGGAGTTATGGGGAAATCCTGGAGTACAGATTCTGCATTCTCATGAAATACACTCTCTGGGGCTTTGGTAATAGACGGCTTCTCAGGGATGTCTCACCCAATTGTCACTCCTTTAGAGGCAGTGATGGCGAGGCTCTACTAGATCTGCTCTGAGATAAGGTTTTGTGCAAGCCATTCATCTATGCTGTCTGTTGCAATGCCCCTCCATCCCCCGACAGCAGCACAGGAGCTGCAGCAACACAAGGAGGCCTCTTGGAAGTTCTCTCAAGCTAGGAGAGCCCTGTTCTCTTGCCTGGTGCACAGCCTGGGAGCAGAGGGGATGGTGCCATCACAGCAATGGTGAGATCTGGTAAGACTTTCTCCAGGTACAACTAGTGCAAGATCCAGTATGTGCCAGGTGGGCACAAGGGGAAAAATAACGCTTAGCACTGTGTGCTCTCACACTTCTCCAATCTTTCTGGCTCTGACCTTGCTGTACATCAAGCTGGAGTAGGGCTAGATGGCCCAGACAGGCTCCTGAATGAGTGACAGCAGAAGCACTGCTTCAAAGGGCCATCTGGGGCTTGTGAAGCTCAGATATGGTAACCTGTGTGGTAGAAGGTATAAGGAAGGGGGTGTCCACATGTGCATTCAGAGCAGAGATGCCTCTGTGTGCAAGAATATACTTGTGCATACCCATTTGTGTGTATACACGTGAAAGCACGTGTGGTTTGTGTGCAATCATGCAGAGGAGTCTGTTTTTGCAAGATGGCATGTGTGTATGCATGTGTAAATGGGAGGTGGTGAGTCCTTTTGGAGGTGAACATTTGTGCATGGCTGGGTGCAAGCATAGGAAGGACTGTGCACTGCAGCTGGCACCCAGGAAGCTCTCTGACTGGACATACAGCCCTAGTGCCACGATGTTAATGGGTCACATCCAAGGGGCTGATCTCGTACAACTTGAAGTCAGCCAATTTCATATTTTAGTGCATTCTGGATACATAGGAAGAAAGGAGGGGCTGCAGAACCAGACCGGGCCCTTCTACTCTAGCGTTGCCAAGACATCTACATTGCAGCCTTCTGCACTGTCCTAACAGAAGTCACTTTCTAGATGCAGCCATGTGCTAAATGTGCCTCCAGCCAAGTGGTGGACATGGCCAGGCTGGCCAGTACAGATGGATCTGTGCTGTGCTTCAAGCCAGCACAGAAACCCCCTGGACTAGGACACCATTTCGGAATTCAGTTTGGCCCTCCCTATACTGGCCAGATGAACTTTGTGGGATGTTAAGGGCTAGGAATGATGTGTACAGGATCATGGAGAATCATGGGGCAGGGACACTTATGGAGCAATGTACCCACCACCCAGACCTCCCCACAACCACACCCTGTTCCCTAAACGCTGCTGCTGCCAAGGTCCTCCTACTCCAGCTGAGCACACGCTACTGGCACCACCTTTCTGGTCTTCTGCTACTGTCTACAGGCCACCTCTTTGCCAACCTAGGTGCACAGTGAAACCTCACCTCCTCCTCAGCAGCTCATGGTGGGAACCAGCAGCAGGGAGGTGGGGTGGGGTGTGATTTTCCCTGAAACCTTTGCTGGTCCCTCCCTTCCAACCTCAGCCTCCCAGATGAGGCTCTAGGGACTTGTTTCACTGTGTTAACCCACCTTGTCAGCATGCAGGTCCATTGGTTCCTTTCCAGCTGGGTGATTCAGCTGGAAAGGCCCGGGGCAAACATCTCATGGTTCTAAAATGACAAGACCAAGGTAGGATGCACCTAAGGCCCCAACACCCACCTCCCATTGTGCCTGCTGGGTGCCCCTCCCCATTTTTCTGCCTTGCCCTGGTCTGATATCATTGCTGTCCCCCATCAACTCCTTCTGCCCTGCCCTGCACAGGCTGATGCTTCTGCTATCTGCTTCAGACCAGATGCGTTACACAGGCAGGTCACCCACAGAAACCTTCCACCTCATACCAACAGCTCCTGCCTATGGCTGGTGGTCCTTACCCCACTCTGAGCTGATGAATTTAGAAGTGGGGGCAGAGGAAGGGAAAGTATCAAGTTCCTCAGCCCAAAGTTGCAGAGACCACAGTGGGTCTGAATGGGGAGTTCACAATGGTGAGAGGATGTGACCATAAGGAAATGTCAGATAAGGTAGGGCTGGTTGTAGAGATGCAAGAAGGGTGAAACATGCCCCATCCCACTCCCAATACAAAGGGAAATTAAAAGGATACCAAGCAAATGTGCCAAAGATCCACTCAACAATGCTCTCAGGGAATCACATTGCACTGCCTGGCAGTGCTTGAACTAGAACCAGTATAACAATGTCCTCAACTCCACTTCTGGGGCTGGATGTGACCTTCTGCATGTCTAACCCAGCGCTTTCTTGTCCCAGGTCTTCAACCCATTGCCCAAAGCAGCCATGGTCAGCAGCTCACACTGGCCAGTGGCACAACAGACCAAACTTGTCCCTTGGATATGAAATCAAGAGGAGCCCTGCCTGGTCCACTCACTTCAGAGACCTTCTAGTGCTGCACTGGGCACCAGTCATTCTGGACTGGTATATGGCTAGATTCATCCCTAGTATATCTCTTCTGAACTAATGGGGTGACATCCGGGTGAATCTGAGATGTACTCAACCCTGTTCATGTCAACTGCTGTAGTGGGTGCCCAACACCCTTAAACCAGGTCCTGAGGTTTCCAAAAGGTCTGGCTGTATCCTCTTCATTCCTAGGTGCTTTTGCACAATCAAGACCTCCTAATCAAAGGTGTGGGAACTGCCCTCCCCAAAGAGAATTAAGAGGCAGATAGAGAACATCTGCCCTGAGCCAGGAAAGGTAAGAGCCAGGAGGCAAGAACCAGGGACCAGGACCCAGGCTGGGAGCAGGAGACAAGGCTGGAGGCATAGTTTTGGCCAGCACACCCTTCCATGTCTTTGCAGGGACAGATGTTGCCAGACCAGGGTAGAGGTAAAAGGGTGCTTCTAGAGACGGAGGGGACATCATGAGCCAGGAAAAAGTTCTTTTTATCTGTGGTGGGTGTGGCCTATTGGCCAAGGGGATGTCCATTGGGTGGGCAGATACAGCCGGAGGCTGAGAGGGAATGTTGTTCACAGTGATCTTAAGACTAGAAAAGAAAATCTGTTCCTTCTTTTTTTCACCTAAGACATTTTTGTGCCCAATGAATGGTTGAGGTGAGCAACTGATCTCAGAGCAGGAATTGAAGGTGTGATCCAGTACCCATTGAAGTTGATGGGAATCCTTCCATTGACTTCAGTTTGCTCTGGATCAGGCTCAGGGTCTATTAGAGATACTGGGAACTGCTATCCATTACAACTAGTTTGTAAAAGCCATATTTCCTTCCAAGCACACATGAACACCTATAATGATACACATCAATGGCTGCTGAGGGTCCATGGACCCCTTTCCCCCCAACTCCCCACAATAGAATTATTGATTTAAATAAATAATACTGACCATGAAATTCAATTTAAGTTCTTTTTTTTTCTTTTCTTTTTGTTTCCTTGTTGACAATAAATACTGTAATTTTTCAGGCTAAAATGTTGGAAACTAGATGTAGAAAGATCTGATTTAAAATCCTCAGGCTAAAAATAATAAAAGATCAGACTGATGGATATAAATAATACAAGACTTGGAAGCAATGGCATTGGAAAGCACCTAGCAAGTTGATGGAATGGAGAAGCAAATGAGGACATCATAAAACTATGATGTCTGACTGTTTTGCGTTCAAAAAGCCATTGCAATTGGCTGAGAAGTTAACTAGACTATAATCTTGATTTGGCAAGAAAACACAATATTTTTTCTCTTCTACGCTTTTGTTTGTGTTTGGATGGGTGAGGTGGGAAGGTAAATTACCTCAAACACAATATTAATTTGTCATTGTTGTTGGTTAAATACTTTTAAGATAGCAAGATGACGAGACATCTGTCAATGGAAACTACAAAAACTCTCCCAGAATTCCACAGGTTCCATGGGAAAAAATAAAACAAACAGAAAATGAGGCCACTGTTCTTCATATCTGGCCAACAGCTCAATGGGAGGGAGAGGGTGGGAGTCAGTGAGGCAGAGCTCAAGGATGCTCACTGTCTGAAGAAGAACAGAAGCCTCAAGGTGCCTCGTCCTTCCCCAAGTCTTTATCAGAGCTCAGTGTTTGCCAGCCTGCTGCGCAGAGGCACTAGACAGGCAAGGTTGGAGAGAAACAAACAGAAAAGATATTCCAGGCTCCCAAGCAGAGGAAGAGGACGTCCTCATGAGCGATTGCCAAGATGTAACCAGAGCAAATGGGACGAGAAGAAGTTGCCTTTTTCCAACACGCCTGGAGGAGATGGAAATGGAGATTTAAATAAAAGAAAAAATGGATGGATTGGACCCAATGGATGCTTTAAAGGCAAGATGCCAAGGGCAGTGGGTAGAGGCTGGCAGTCAAGTAGAGGAGGAGCAGCTGCAGAGACAGCAAAACACCAAGGGAGGGTCTGAAGGATGCCCCTCTGCCACAGTCTGAGGTATCTTCCTGTGGAGACAAAAGGTGAGAGGGGTTTCTGCAGGGTCAGGGAGTAAAGCAGGAGCCTTGCGTGCATACCTTGTGGGATCTGGGGGAAAGGAAACTCCCGCATGGGAATCTGCTTTTACTGATTGATGCTCAGGTCAGATATGCTCATGTTTTGAGATATTTCACATTAAGGGAGAGTTATTTCATGTGACCCATTATGTCCTTGCCTTCTGGCCAAAGCTGATCCAAGCCATCCCATGCCTAGCCTTCATTGCACCCACTCTCCCAGAACCCCCCCACTCCTTTTCCCCACTTACTGTTGCATTGTAGTCAAAGCAGATGTGGGGTCCTTTCCGATACCGGGGCTTGTCTACCAGCTCACATTGATTTGGATCTCTCGGTGGAGCTTTGTGTGTCAAGGAAAAATAACGTACTGTAAACAGCAGGATTCTGTGGGTGCAAGTGTGCTGGGGAGGGGAGTTTTGAGAACTCAACAATTGGGACTGAAGGCCCTCCACAATGCTGAGGACTTCATGAGGTCTGGGATTTAGGAAAGAACGGAGACCTTCTCAAGTGTTTTGTCTTGTACTTTCCTGGTACAATTTGCACCCTCTTCTGGTGTGAATGATTTATATCAACACTCTTGTCAGTTCCTTTTCCCCATCCCTGCAGACCTCCATTAGGTTGTCTTCATTTCTTCTTATAATCCCAGTTCCCTGAAAAACTTCTCTCATTGATTTAGATTCGCCAGACCCTGTGAACAGCCATATAGGTTTCTAAAAATTGCTGGAGATGTGCAGATCCAGAAGGAAAAAAGCTCAGACCCAAGCTCAACCAAGGCAGGGACACATGAAGCAGCTAGATCTGAAGCAAGGGACAGAATTTTTTATTTCTAAGGCACTGGAGCTGTTGAGAGGGTCCTACCATGACCAGGGATTTCATCATCATGGACTACTTATCTTTATCCAGATAACTCTGACCATGAGTGGGACTTCCATGATGCACCAGCCTTGCTCTGGCCCTCTTGCTCTTGAACTGCCAGTGTTCAAGGTTGAGCCTGAGACCAGAACTGTTAAAGCACATGTTCTAACCATCAAAGGATACCTCGCATCTCTGCCTGGAGAAGCTTGACAGACTCGCACTGGCTACATATGGGCTTATCTGCTACAACAAACAGCAGGTTGGTGTTGGCAAGCCTCTGTGCATGGAATAGCCTGGGGGAAGAAACACAGGGTAAAATGGATGAGTGTATCCTCTCTCTTTTGTTTTTGGGTGTCTTCTCTGCACCTCTGACAAGCAGGTCTTATGGAAGGAAGCAAGTGAACACAGCTGGCCATACCTGGGAGGCCCTAGCCATTGTTTGTGAGGTTCCTCCTCAGCCTGGTCATCCTGCAACCCCAGCCCAGACCTTCCCATCTCTTGTGATCTGTGATATCCTGAGTCTCTTCATGGAGGAAGAGGAAAGAAGCTTAAAGCACCAAAGGAGCTTCCAGAACATGAGCCACATCAGGTATCCTCATCCAATCTGGTGGAGCTCCTCTTGCTCTGGCTGTGAGGTTTTAGGTGTTAAATTCCTGTGCTGGGACAGGAAATTTTTCAAGTAAACAGTGATAACCTGTGTCTGCTTTAGGATCATGGGCCTACCAATGTGAATTCTTTTTTCCACATGCCAATGTGAAAGCCCTGGTGTCCAGCTCACTAAGACTACTGAGGTGTCTGCATCCATGTATTGCAGGGCTCATGCCTGGTGCACTGCAGCGATTGTGCATGGTGCCTTTGGCCTCAAACCTTCAAAGACACTCAGTATAGCTGTGTACCTTGTCACCTGTGACTGTTGTGGGAGTGGCTAATGTTGTGTTTCTTCCAGTTCTTGACACTATTGGGAAGAAGCTGTACCACTCTCAGGAAGGGGGTACCCAATCCAAGTCTCATCCAACATGGGGCTCTGTTCTGACCTTACTGGGAGTTAAAGAGCTCAGGGACACATCTCATTCAAAGATAATAAAAAGTCCTTTTTCAAATATATAGGGAGAATGAAGAAAGCACCGGGAAATGTGGGGCCCCTGCAAGATCCTCTGGGCAATCT